CAAACCACACTGATAAGGGCGACCTTCATGTGCCCGTGCAGGAACAGATCAGAGTCTGCCTGGTGTCCTGATTTGTATCCTTATCACAAGCGACAGCCTCCACAACAGACGACGACCTTCTGAAAATTCTTTTTCTTCTAAATTTTCGCGCACATTTCAAGAATTACATCTGCCACAAAATGTGCGTTTGATAAGCAACTGACTGAATATAATCAACACATTAAAAACTTTGTGACAACATGAGCACGTCTGTAAAGAAAAATTCATTGTAACCAATGCAGACAGTCCAATTCGCGCTGTATACAAGACTACACTGCATCCACTTGGCATACAGGCCGATATATCCCCTTAAGGGAGGCGAGGCGCCGCCGTTACAGTAGCCGAGTAGGGCTTGACGTCGCGCGGCATGGGACAAAATGTTCCACATGGTCCTTGAAGGGATATTTAGGTACCAAAACGTCAAGTGGATGTCTCTTGTGAATATTGTTGGACACCTCTGACTTCTCTTTGATTACTCGAGTTTATGACTAAACTTAATTCAGGTCAGGTTTTCGAAGAATTCAGGGTGACTTCGGGTGACTCTGAAGAAACACCCAGATTAGCGATGCCAATGACCAACGACCGCGGCCAGTGAACAGACAAAAACTCACCCGATATGCCTTTGCGAACGCCAACGACACCAATTCGAGTGTTTTGACATTTTGTAAGACCGAGTTTAGATAATATTGCGTCCACACGCAATTCTCTTCTTTTCTGTGGGAGCTTCGTCCGGAGTCGAGCCTTAAAATGACAGCTCTGATGTCGATATCGAACTGCGGCTACGACCGAAACGAGGCACTCACTTGAATGGACAAATATTCGCGAACAGTTAGAGTACCAATGAACAATTCTTCCTGCTGAGCATAGCCAGATATTGCTGATATTTGCCGACCAACCTAAACATGATTAATCAACTGGTAATAGCCGATAATATCGAACATACCTCATTACCATTCACTTCGACTCTGCCTTCCACTTCTAGCCCTTTCAGGTTCCGAGCGAGAATCGTGTTCAGCAGCGTTGTCTTACCGGAACCACTAAGAGTGCGATAATATGAATAAAACCAATACGGCTCTATCAAATGAAAGAAACATCAAAACATTTTGAGAGAAGCAAAGCGAACGAAGATCTGATTATGGTCCCGGTTAATCTCTAGGTATATAAAGATAAAATAAAGCTCTCGGGTAGGATCAATCTCTGAGGGATGCGCCATGCAGTCGTCTTCAATCTTTAACTCTGTCTGAAGTCATGGAATGCATATCTGGCCTTTACAGTGACTCGAGATGGCACATCGGTGTATCAAGTCGCTGCGCTATCCCCGCCCCCCAGAAAAGTCTGGAATCAGTCTGATATCAATTTACTAACCCCGGAGAGATGGAAGGCTCGGTGAGCCATGTTTGCGAGATCGAACCATCGACAACCATCTGTACGACGCAGAGCAACACTAATCACTTCGCCAATGCGCTCTCCGGGTATACAACAAATGAAAAAACAGATAAGCAACCCATGTCAAGAAGTGCCACCGCCCTAGCAGAATTTTCACGGCAAGGCAGTCGTTCTTCTCCGATTCAATGATTACTGACAAGTTCGGATGGTCAGGAACTGAGAAAGAAATAAAATTTCGATTACAAAACAATTTCTTTACTTGCAATTGGGCGCTTTGTAGTAGTGTCTAGAGTATTCTGCGACACACACGTGGTCAATGGTTCGATCTCTTTTCGAAGATTCACTAAGCCTTCCAAAAGTCTGGCATCGGCGAATCGTGTCGCACTTGTTTAGGTGAATAGCAGCACTGACTCGATGGATAGGAAGGCCACTGCGAAATATTTCAAGGTTAGTATAGGGGTTGAGCCACCTCAAATGATATTTGATGGGGTCGAGTGCATGGCGTATCCCTCAGGATTGATCGCCTCCGAGAACTCTATCAGTGAGTGGAGGCATATGCGGCGTTTACTTGCGACCCGTACTGGTCTGACAATGTATCAAATCAGCGCTGCTATCCTTCCAGACATCTCAGGTAGCAATTCACCGTCCGGAAGGATGCAAGGCTTAATGAGCCTTGAATGCGGAGCCAAACCATCGACATGTGCATCGCAGTGAACCTTTCACCACTGCGCCACATGTGCTCTAACTATGAAATACACATGAAGGAACTGGAACGTAGATACAGAATTGTGAGTGTTCAAAGATGGAAACAAATCGTACTAGAAATACAAATAAATCATTCAGACGATAGATCTGCCCACCTCGCTCCCATCAGAGCCATTAGTTGGCCGGGTCTAGCGAAACCAGAGACGTTATCGAGTAGCACACGTCCTGTCTGACGGACGGAAATCCTGAACATCTCGATCTGTTCAGCCACATTCGAGACAAAAACAGTTACAAAATTAAAATCTCACTTTATCACTCTTTTAGCAGAATTATTATATTGTTGGGTCGTTCCACAAGTTCTGGTACCAGAGCAATAAACACCAAATTTATTGATTAGAAGTGAATAAAACTGCTTGATTTTGGTATTGTTAGGTTGCGCATTTTCTTGCGAACATTTTGGTACATAACTTGCCTACAACTGTTTCGAAATGGAGCTGTCATGGGAACAAATTCGCTTGCTACTCATGCACGAATGGCGCGTAGGGGAAATACTAGTGAAGCGACGCGCAAGTTCAACAGAGCTTGGAGCGATGAACAGTTGCATAAAGGACGGCTAGGAAGTGGTTCGCAGAGTCCAGAGCTGGAGAGATTAGTCTGGAAAATCACTCGCGCTCGGGCCGTCCACAAGAGGCTCCATTAATCTGTGCACCGCTTTACTAGCCATTTCCCCCTGCGCACCATTCGTATCTGATTGGCAAGCGAATCTAGTTCTCACGACAACTCCATCTTAATCTTGAAGCAAGTATCAGCAAATTTACCAAAATGTCTGGAAAGAAAATGCGCAATTGAACGATACCAAAATCATGCAATTTCAACCACTTTAGATTAGTAAATTCGGTGTTTATTGCTTCAGTGCCGAACCTTATGGAACAACCTAATACTCTCCGAGGTGCTTTCATGTTCTAGCGGCGACAATTTTTAGGCGGATCTCATTCGCTGGACAGGAATTTTCAGAAGAATGCTTAGTAATCATTAGAAAGCTCAAATCTGTGGGCACAACTCTATGTTGTCGGTTTTTCAAATCACCCTTGCATAACAGTGTAGCATCCAGAATAAAATTTCATTTCTCACTCGCTTTTCGCCTTCATTTTTATCAAAAGTATAACTCGCTAGGAAGTACGAGAAGTATATCAGCGTGTTAGAGAATTTTCCGTAGTATCAAAATCACGAGTTTCTATCTAGAGTTTGTGTCTGATGCGGTGAAAAAATCCTCAGTAAAATAACAATAGTTGCCGCCGTTTCAAGGCGTAGTGTAGTAGATAACTACCGAGCTACGCGGTAGACCAGGCAATTACCTCACCGAGTAATCGTCGCTGTGGCTTCCCTTCACATTTTACTCAGCCATGAAACCTTTCCAACGACTCTGTCTGCCGGCGAACTCACGCAGCTAGAGAGGTAGGGGCGGGGCGACCGATCGCGTTTGGAATATTGTTATTCAATTGGAATTAATTTCACAACATCGACAGGAACTTCAAATAAAAAAGTATGATTCCCATACTACGGAAAATTCTCTACACGTTGATATGCTTTTCGTGCTTCCAGCGACTTTAACGCGTGAGAAAACGAAAGGCGAAAGGCGAGTGTGAAACACAATCTTATTCTGGACCTTACAGCACTATAAAAGGGTCTTTGTAAAAATCGATCACGTAGAGCTCCAGGTAGAGATTTAAGCTTTCGAATGATTACTAGCAATCCTATAAAATTTCCCGTCCAGCAAACGAGATCGCTTTATAAATTTGCCGCCGTTTACGTACAAGCATCAACTTAACTACTGCGAATTATCTTCAAGCGCGCACGCCCTTAAGATCAACGTCATTCGTATCGGAAATCCATAGTCAGGACCTAATCTTATCAATGAAATCACGATATAAGGTCGAGGCGACAAACTCTACAACATACCGGATGCTCTTCCAGGCAAGAGTGACTGGTTGAACTGCGTCGAGTTGGGCTTCTTTGATGGTAGGTATGCCACCATAGCAGATGGTGGTGGTCGATTGAGTTCTCGACGATAGCAGGCTGGTCATTTCATCTGATTGCATAGTCATGGTGGTGGTCTCGAAGAAGCAGAAGACACAGGAGCAGGGCAGAGGAGATATGAGAAGGAGAAAGTCGGTGAACAACAAAATTGGTGATCTACAGCCGCTATACTTCAAAGAAAACACCAAATGAATGAGGATGAATGAAGAGGGAGAAATACGATGGTCGGCAGCTCTTCGACCACACTTTCCTCTCCTTATCTAATCATACCACCCTATCAACACTCCAATGCAAATACGAGCATTGGACAAGATATAGGAAGAAATACACATGTTCAAGGATTTTTTATCCAGACACAAGAGGCTACATCGATTGAGAGACAGCAACAAGTGATCTCAAGATCAGTAGAGACCGTATGAGAATAGCGGAAAACGTGAGGCGATAGGAGCAACGACAACACGGAAACCACAAAGTAGGAAAACCCAGAATTCTTACCGCGAAGCATAGACATCGAAGCAGACAATGTGGCAGGGTCAGGAGGCTCACGAAGTCAGCAAATAGGGCACAGGAGACCGAGAGACCCATACATAGAGAGCCGCATAGGACATGCCACATGGTACGGTAGCGGGAGAACATCATGAAAGCTGAAAGACGGACCGTTAAATCAGAAGTTTTTGCTTCCCAAAAGTTCTTTATGATCTGCTATTTCATCGCCACTTCAACCGAAAATTTCTCTAGGCTGGGGACAGATGCGATCTAAAAGAGCTGTGACCTCACCGGGGTCAACTACACGATACGAGAATCCAAAATGTGGAGTACTGTGCAAAAACGTTTGCGTCAGTCGGGATTCGAACCCAGATCTCACTCTTTCCGGGAGCGCATGCTAACCGTTGCACTACCGACGCTCGTTTTGCACAGCACTCTTATTCACGCTATAACGCGTTGTCTGCCAACAGCCAACCATCGACGATCTGGCGAGGTAGCTGCTATCGGCACTGAACCCACTTGTGTTGACAGACATTGGATATCGATAAACAGTCTAAATTGTTTCTATTTTGACTGCCACTTACCCCGCCAGATCGTCGATGGTTGGCTGTTGGCAGACAACGCGTTATAGCGTGAATAAGAGTGCTGTGCAAAACGAGCGTCGGTAGTGCGACGGTTAGCATACGCTCCCGGAAAGAGTGAGATCTGGGTTCGAATCCCGGCTGATGCAAACGTTTTTTGCACAGTACTCCACATATTGGGTATACTAATAACATCATACCACTGCAAGTGGCAGTCAAAATAGAAACAATTTAGACTGTTTATCGATACGAGAATCAGGTTTCGATCTTCATTGTCTCCAGGAGTATCTACTTTTCCATACAGTCCAGATCATTCTTTGAAAGCTTTATCTAATCAAAACTCTCAGGAATAACCTACATGACACCTGAACCACCCATCATAATTTATCGTGCGGATCCCAGCCTTTCCTGCATCTGATTCTTTTCCTTGAATTTTTCGCTCTACAAAAAGCCTGCGAATTTTTCACGTGTTGCTTCGGCTGCTGTTTGAGGATTTTGTCTCATGAGATTGTTTTTATTCAACCGCTTTTGCGGTGGTATGATGTTATAGATACACCTAGTGTTAAAGAGTGATGTGCAAAATTTTAGCGCCAGGCGGGATTAGAACCCGCACCTCACTCTTTCCGGAAGCGCGCGCTCCATCCGTTACACTACTGACGACCATTTTGCACATCGCTCTTTCTACGCTACAGCGCATCTGTCTGTCAGCCGCCAGCCGTCAACGGCCTGGCCCTGGTAGTCGGTCTCGACAATGAACCCATTCATGCTGTAGCGTAGAAAGAGCGATGTGGAAAATGGGCGTCAGTAGTGTAACGGATAGAGCGCGCGCTCCCGGAAAGAGTGAGGTGCGGGTTCTAGTCTCGCCTGGCGCTAAAGTCTTGCACAAAACTCTATAACACTGGGATTTTGTCTCTTGAATATCGTAGAATGCTGGTGAAGACGATTCTCCCCACAATCTTCAAGGTAGCCGATCTGAGACATTGTCCAAGGAGTTCGTTGACTGATTGCAAGAGAAAGTCCTACTAAACGTAAGAGATGTGAATGATATTACCTAACAATTTCTTTTCCAACAGCATCAAAACTTTGGTGTATCCACGAGGCGAACACTTTGCGCTTTCAATTAGATTATTTTTCTAAGATTTCTACACTTACTTTTCCACAAGTGAATATGATACTGGAAAAAGCTGGCAAGTGCTCGATTTACGGGCTCGTTCAGTTTCAAACCGGCAGGATTGTGAAGGAGCCAATGATCACCTGTGAAACCAGCTCGGCTCAGTTTATTGCTCTTTACATTCGAAAGGAAAAGATTTGGACTGAGAAATGAGAGATAGCAATTTACCGCATCTAAACGTGCAACGAGCATATCAACGCCTTGCCAGAAAAAATCGTATGTTTCATCACAATTCACAGATAGAAATAAAAGTTGACCAGCTAATAGATCGATGAACAATGCACTCCACCAGAATGATGTTCTGAAAAGATGATAATGACTGAAGAGCGTTGAACTCCCGTCTTACCGTTCCCGGAACGTGTGCTGACCGCTACACTACTGGGACACTTGTTTCGCTATCGCTCTTACAACGATTGATTAGTATGTGCCTCAGGAAAAGATGAGACGCAGATTCAACTCTTGCTAGAGATACAAAGTTTCGCATATCACTCGACATTCTGGGATTTATTGTGAGAACATCGTAGTACTGCTATAAAAGCAGTAAAATATGAGAGATTTTCGTGATCGGAGAGTTTGCATCAATCTCTAAGTGCCTGATAATCATTTTTTGAGCCATGCATGTCCAGTGGTCTATCAAAGAGGGCTGACTTATAGAGCCCGATACATGTGTTTCGATCTTGCGACCTCGTCAGTCGGGCAGTTACCTTTTCTCGCCTTTGCCATCCTCTGTGGGTGCTCCAGTCCCCACACTAAGAGTATAATTATCAGGCATATTGAAATTTGAGCTGTGGTCTTAAGAAATCACTCGAGACGAAAAATCTTTAAGTGAATTGATTGATAAGAAAGACACTTGGAAAATCTTTTGCGCTCCTCATAAATACTTGAAGAAATATATCAAACATCCGCACATTATTTGATTCATGGCAATATCCTATAAATGAGAGACAGACGGCACGAAAGAGAGAAATCATTAGGTTTATGTGTTAATTCATCTAAGATTTTTTGATGAATTTTTCCAGTAGAACACGAAGTAAAGCACTTTGCATTCAAAGGCGAATTGACAAAAATAGCTCCCTTAGATACAAGCATGTAGAAGTTTCTTTTTCAACAAAAAAACGTGATCGATTACAGCTCTTTTCGACCACTTCTTTCAACACTTGACATCCATTTTAAATCCACCACTCGATGCATAAAGTAAATTATCGACATTGACGGAGTTCCCCTCTCACTTTCCTGACGTGACATCCTCTCCTCCTGATAACACCTGATAATCACTCATTCTGCTTATGAACTTCCAGATTTCCAAGGCACTTCAGGGTGGGAACAGCTGTAGAGTCAACAAAGTGTGCATGAAACGGTGTCCTCGACGCTTTTATATAGCTCCCTCATTGTTTTCAGCTCCGTAACAAAGTCGTTCCTCACGTTCAATTCCCAAAAACCTTTGTAAAATTTGCTCAAAGTCGATAGGATAAATAAAATTCAGCCAAGGAACGCTTTGAGATAAATTACCTCCTTCAATACATCAGACATGGCGTTGTTTTATTTTTTCAGCTATAGCACAAAAACTAAGTGCACCCATTCCAGTCACTGCATAGCTTCCCTGAGAGACAAGAAACGGAGCAATAAATTTCTTTCTCGTAGCAGTCCCTCTATCGGTTCCCTCAAGTTGAGTAGGAAAAAGGAGAAAGAAATTACACTCCAGTGGAAAAGCATATTTCAAGAAGCAAAATTTGAAGGGAGTGGTCCAATTCTGCTTGAACAGTGTAGCGTCTATGCCGTCCGAAACATTTTGAGCCTTATCAGCTAGACGAGCTGAACAAGTCTTATAGTCTTACAATCACAGGCCATAGGAACCCTCTTTGATCGCCAGAAGTCATTCGATATAATAAAAGCAATACTGCATCCTTCCATCGACTCCCTTCACACTTGTCAATCGCACTTGTGTACTATGTATCGACTGTGTGGTTTGATCTGTAGTTGATACTCTCGCTTGCAAGGATAGTCGCTCTCCACCCACGCAGTACTCGAACGCCAATTAGGGAGCCGTAGTTCGGACATTCGACAAGTAATCATTCCTATACATCCAGCGAAATAGATGTCGACGATAGAGTGTACAAATTGTATGAGGAGAACTGACGAGAGGTGTGGCCGAAGGACATAAATGGACCTATAGAAGATGCAGACGACCCCCCTAAAAACAATACCTGCAAGGTATCGTGTCATTGTCAAAACTGCCTTATTACTACGAGTCATCGGTCCAAATATTACCATAAGTATCACCGAAATCTCTATGTAAGCCAGTCGCAAAGAAACCTGATGATTGAAGTTGGGACTGAACCGCATATGATTTATCACCACCCGCGCCATTTAAGTACTAACGTTACTTCTCCTTAAGAATAATCTCTATGACTTTTTACGAAGTGATCTGACAAGTATATAACATGTTTTTAGCTGTTAGGTCTAGTGCTATACAGGCTCCTGTTTCGTCCTATTGAGACGCATCAATAACCCCTCCCTCGGTTCAGCCGATCCCCGAAGGCTAAATAATCCTCTATAGAAGAATCGACACCGAGTTAAAAAAAAACCGAGGGAGGTTGCTAGTGATGAGTCCCAATAGGGCGAAACATCGCCTGTATAGCACTAGACTTAACAGCTCAAAGCATATATGTCCTAAGCAGATTATATCATTTTAAGCGGGTCTGTAGAAGAGCGGTCGGCAAGGATGAGAACTGTAATTAGACCGAATAATTCGTTAGGGTTTTTCAGTCGTTCATATATGAACATATACATAGAAATACATATTTAGTAATTTATATATTATTAATGTAAGTGGTTATCGTGTTAACAAGCACGCTTGGGGCATTTTTGTATGAGTTGAATTTTTTAGACACTACTAATCCGTTTTCACGGCGTTTTTTCACTGCGGGCCCCAGTACCTGTAGCATCAATTCGCTTTCTCGTTCTTCTTCTTGACCATCATAAAATACTGCTTATAGAGCGGGTCTCCTTGCGATCTCGAGGGTAGCGTGGCTGTGGCGTTCCATAGCCGTTCGTTGATGTGACCTGCCGGAGAAAGTTGTAGGGGTGGAAGGTCAGCTTCATGTGCTCCGCGATAAGCATCCAAATACCCGGTCACGGCTCCGCCATCAATTAAATGAAATCAGAATTTCTCCTTTTCCTCCGCATGATATATAGATAATCAGTAATGCTGATTTACGGCCAAAAATGCTGGTTTAATGTTAAGTGCGAAGTGAAAACAACAACATATAATTTTGTGCGTACAATCAATAAACAACAATTAACCGAAGAACGAAATCATACTGAATGAATTAGAGAGTTTCGAGCACAAGTGTTCAAAAGCCAATAGTTCGACCAGACCGCGAAATCTGCATGTACTTCCCAGTAACATTGATAAATTTCATATGCCATGGCGATGATCTGTAAGCGCCATGTACGCTAACAAGGGCAAAGGTAAATTGGGGATCTAAACGATGAGTGTGTGTGATAAATTTCTACTATATTGAAAATCCTACATGTCATTCTTTACAATGGGGTATAATTCGGTCGTAGAGCAAGTAGACGCCTCTCTGATACTCAAGGGGCATTAGGTGGAGAGATATCCCATATTATCACATTTTCCTTTTTAAAATCTTGGACGGTACGGGGATTTGACAGCCCGAGCATTTCTCCCAATGCTAAGGGAAAGCAGCTCTACCACTTTCTACTAGAGCCTACTCATATGTAATGGACGCGGATGGTTTGCCAAGACGTCGCTGGAGAATTTCCGTGCACGTTCACAAGGTTCATCATTTCACCCAAGTCCAGTCGTCTACATGAAGTAGAACGAGTGGCATTTCAAGGCTTTTCTTAACATTTTTACATAACCCCAAGGAAACCGCTTCTCTTTCCCTATACTTAAACGAGCAATACAAAATTACGACACCGCCCCAATATCTGATGCATAGTAGAGAACTACTTGGAGAGCTTGCAAAAGTCTGGGGAGGTATTGGGATCAGGGGGAATTGAACCCCAGCCCTCTCCCCTGCTTAAGGCGAGCGCTCTTACCACTGAGCATATACCCCCCCTCACGACCGACGCCGGGTGCGATGGTTGCCCAAGCAATAATTGTTGTGGGGAAAGTGTTACAGTGACCACCTATTTTATGTCCAATACATGACTAGAGCGGAATAAGTAGTTCAGAGCATCTCGACCCGCCGATTCCGATCTTATGGGAATACAGAGTGTTCGGACTGGCCTTCTACTCATTTGTTCAAAGAGAAGGATGGTCCCCCCCCCCCCCCCGATAGCCCTTCATACCATTCCTACGTGAGCATAAGAAGTGAATACTCAACGATTACACAAAAAAAAAAACCATGGCGAGATGGGGAAATCTCCTCTACCAGCTCTATCCCATTGCTAAAGGCTGCTCTACCACTTCAGCATGCACCTCACTTCACGGAATGATGCGCAGTTCCAAAAGTAAAACGTCACACACCGCTGTATAACTGCTTCCACGACTGTTTGTTATAATTAGAAAAAGATGTGCCGACTACGATTAATCTCCCATCATGACCTAATAGAGGATTAAGGATATCGATACTGTCCTGACACATATCGGATAGTGTGAAAAATAATTCGCTGATACATACTGCGTCTTCATAAGCGCTTCCCCCCCCCCCCTAATGTATTACAATAGATCTGCTTCTTTCTGACTGCAGTGGTCCAAATTAGCAGTGGCGTATTCTCAACGCGAATCTCGTGTGATTCCAATAATGTAGTACTCCTTCGAAGTTACAAGGACAGGAAATAGCGCTCCGTCTAGCAAGAATAAGAGACTGAAGCTTGTTATGACACACATGCAAACGCCCGTATGATTTAGACGTTCTTCACTGGGAGCCGCAAAGAACCATTTCATCATGAACGGAATCCCCGGATCCCTTGGGAGAGTTATTAGATTTTTGATTTTTTTGATGATTATTTTATTTTTGGATATGTGTTTATGAGTCTATTTTTGTGTGCATGAAAATGTTTAGTGGTATGCTATTTATTTTTATTATAAATGTAGCTGAGATTTGATCAGAGTATTAATGTAAAGGCTTTTTTGTGTTTTTTTTTTTTTATTTTCTTTCTAAAACACCAAGCATCCGATTGTTGCTTTCCACACAAGCATTGGTATGAATTCTACTTTGTATAATGTGCGTTATTTTTATCAAGATATCGGCCCTCAAAATACATAGTCTTGTTTCAGTCTTGTAGTTGTTTATCGAAATATTATCCCTTTGCGCCATCAACGCTTGCCGTTTAGTTACTCTACGTTGTCTCAGTTATAGCAAGTATATCGAACTTAGTTACTTCGAAGCGTGCTTTCGTGAGCACTATCTTCTTCCAAATCTCACACAAGGAACCTTGTATCAGCAGAATTTCTTAGAGTCCTGTTTATAGCAGAATTTCTTTAGAGTAAATGATCATAAGGCGTAAAATCAACAATTCTCGTTTATAGATACAAACGGGCATTTAAAATTTGCCTTTTGGTGTTGGAAAGCGGCAAAAAAAAAAAAACAAAACCCGTGGAAAACTGCAAACAATACCAACGATTTAATGGATTATAGAATGGACGGAAATGCATGTATCCCATCCATGGAACGCATGATTGTGCCAGGTTGATAGGCGCTCCTCAAGTCCAATAGTCGCATCAAAAACCATCCGAAAACGAGGCAATCACGAACACGATTCCGAGCAAAAGTATTACGATAAGCGAAAACGCATTCTGAACACGCGAGAATTTCGCAATATTCATGTATGTTGCATAACTTCGGCACGAGATCCTTTCGGAAACACTCAATCACAGCGTTGCGGGTCATCTCACTTGTAAAATGCTATTGATGTAGAGTAATCGGGTAAGCAGACACTTTTTTACGCAGCTAAAGCTACTCTCCTCAGGACCCTCGCTCTACTCCTCATCTCCACAGAAATTCAAGAAAGAAGCGCCCGTAAAGATATCTGCTAAAAGGAGATTTAAGAGGCAGAAACGGCGCTTGTGACAATGCCATTGCAAAGGGCCTCTGTTGTATAGAAAAACCACACACGCCGTTGCGGTAAAGTTAGCCACATGACAGGGTTGTAAAGAACTGTCAATGTCAAACCTGAAAAAAATTTTGTTTTTTTGAGACTTTCCTGATATTCACACCGATAACTAAACAGGGCACAGAAATTCAGCCAACATTTTATGTTCCTTCTGAAACGTATCGTCATAGACCTATACGATAAGGAAATCAACACCTGCGATAGATATCGAGGACGCGACAGCTACTATACACGACAAAAACAGAAGTCTAGTTCCATTTACCTCAAAAAATTTATGTATTCAAAAAATGATATCATCCTAATTAATGCTGATGCTTCTCTGAGCTTCCAGTTTAATCTCAGAGATTCGGGCATCGTCGGTGGAGGTGGACGTGGAAGGTGCAGCGCCACCTTCACAGAATCATAAAATGAACCATGAAGAGCTGTTAGCGTTCCAATCATGATTATACGGGGAATATAGGCCTTTCCACAAGCCTGCGAAGCTAGCTTTTTGATAAATTCCTCCGATTCCCGAGCGCCAGCGTCTTGATTGAGCTTTGACACCACGGTATCAGCAGGATGGAAACAACTGCGCAGAATACACCTAAAAAAAGGACTATACAATACCACAGGACAAAAAAAAACAGTACAGAAAAATCACAACGAGAGAGAACACAAACCGGCGATATAACCAGCAGATGAACGTGACCACAAGTTGCTCAGGCTTAGAACACTGGGAACGTGGTTTTGGAACCACATGTTTGTAACATAACTCAACCGTACGCTCGAAAGCAAGCGAATTTTCATCATAGTATAAGGGATTTGACGCATCCAAAGCGGCACAATACCCTGAAATCGAATCACTCCAACGCAAAGGTAGGAATGCTATGTAAGCAGTATGCATGAAATAACCTTGTAAAACCCATTAGACCTTCAGCCCTGTAGATCATTGGGGCACAGCTCGAAGAGTTGGAGGTGCATCGGGTGAGGTTTGAACGCGAACCTTCGTCGCTTCCATCGGAGCTAGAAGAAATCGGCGATGAACTCAGCAGATGCAGAAGCCGCCAAGTATAGCGAGGGTACGATATAGATAGGCGTTTTCCTGATTTGGCATATATTGTTTTTTTACCCACTTTGAAAAGATATATCACAGACAGTTAACTAGTCAAAGAAAACTTACTGGTCCGAGCATCTCTGCAGTTACAAGTCTTGAAAAACCTCATAGAATCCAAACTTTCCGAGCCCTTGCAGTTGAATATACGACTAGAAGTAGGAGCCAGCCTTTTCACTAATGCACGACCTCCCTCTTCAGCCACAGTGGACGCGGAAACCGGTCATGATGTTTCTGTTACTTTTCAGGGTTCACCTGAACCCAATAAATTGAACTGAACTGTGAACAGAAAGAAAAGCACAATTCTTATCTTGTCAGTAAATGATGTGAAAACTAATTGCCACTCTATGGATTCCGTTTCAGAAAAAAACAATTAAGAGAAACATCTGCTGCGAGCAGAACGAGATTGAAACAGCAACTACTCATACTAAAGCAATGTGAGGAGCTTTTCATATGCAATGGCAAATAAAATGTCTAAGTTCTGTTGATCTCCTAGTAATAAGAGGGAAAAAAAAAACCAACAAACTTGATAAAAGCACTTCACAAATTCCTACCCTTGGCTCTTAAATTTATAATTTTCGAAAAGCATGCCAAAATGTTGCGAATTAAACCTATGAAATGCATGTCAACGGTAATTGGAAACAGTAACGAATAACAAGAATCGATATTGGATGAAAATAATGATGAAGGTAATCGTCCCAATCTTTCCCTCTACAGTATAACCTCTTTTTGTAGATCGGCGAAGAATTACCATAGAGACTTTTGTTGATTTGAAGAAAAAATGCATTTGACAGTGCAATTCAGTAAAAGTGCTTACTGGTTAGTAAACCTCAAAAAAGAAACAAACAAAATCGACTTCTCACCTGGATACGGCACTTCACCAGGTCAAGAGGAAACGATGGCCGTATGCGTCGTACCACAAGAAAATTACTCTCCAAGTGCGCAAAACGCATATATTTCAAAGATCCGAACTCTACCTCATCGCCTGGAAATCGTAAAAATTGAAAATCAAAAAAATTTTTAAGAGATGCAATAGTGGAACAACAAAACCTTCAGGTCTTGTAACGCTCATGGTGGACACTGCCACAGCAATTCGAAGGGGAGCAGACGAGCTGCCATAAGAGAACCAAATCCAAAATACCATCAATAATTGGGTAATACCCCAGAGATAGAGGATACCCAGGTCGCAAGACAATCATCCATCCCGGCATTCCTCCACGATAATGTGGACTTTTGGGCACGAACCAAGTACGGTGTGGATTTCGCTCAGTCTCAGAGGTCATTTTTCTTAACATACCACTATTTTTAGGTGTAGGAGAATTTAGAAAATAGCGACGAAGAACAACATGGATGTGAAAATGCCACGTTTGTGATCCGTTAAAGCCAACACCACCACCACCACCACCACACCCGGCTTCTCTGTTCTCTGCCCCCTATGGACGACCAACGTGTCCTAATTTCACTATACAGCACATCACGTAATAATCCATATGATCGACTCTCCATAAACCTCGGCATAGATTGGACAAATCGATGTTTTTCCATTCTATGCAGATCCGAGTTTGTTAATAGCATGATTTATTGAATACAATAATACAGCACGGTAGTGATACAGAACTGCCGTTACAGCGGTTTCGTCTTTTCAGAGCCTATCAAGGTCAAATTGTAGCAATGTACTCAGTACATACTCCTTCAAAACCTCGGCGAAAAGACGTGATAGTAAAATTTCTTCTGAATCGCATAATACAAATAATACAAGACTTCCTTTAAGTACGCTCATCGATTGAAGTTTTGAAGCTAATAAGCAAGAACTCAGTACCAAAAAACGACTAGACAGCGAGCGTTCTGAAAAGCAAGAAAACTTATCTTGATCAGCCCACGCGAGGTTGGTAAACTAGTCGTAGAAATT